GTATTTGGTCAGAAATAGAGGAACTTACCAGCAGGGGAATGTCTATAACTTGGAGATGTCATACCAAGACTCGGCGACAGATGGGGCTGTGACACAAGCATCTCTAGGTGTGAATTAGATTTTCCAAACATGACCCTTTGCTACATCTGCCCTGAACTAAGACATAGACAGAAAGAAAGACCCACCAGGTTTTCAGTCATATATTAGAGGTTCTGGTAAATGACTCAGTAGCATCCCTCTTCCATATCCCAAAACAAACCATTGGTCACATAACATATAAACATGGCAAGAAAGTGCACACCCTGAGTGAGGTGGTAAGACAAAGTACCTATTCACTCCAGAAGGTATGACCTTCAAGCCTTGAGGGAACTATATGCTTTAGGGAAAATAAATGACCTTCGTGGGGAAAGCTCCTGGGAAGATAAAGGTCCTCAAGTGGGCAATGGAGGTTGAAGTGGGTAGGTGTTGTGATCCAAAGTCACATCAAAGGCAACATCACAACTCAGAACATGGCTCCATTAAACTCTCTTCCGCCCAGAAAAACAGTCAGCACCATTTGATTTGGGGGGAGGGCTCTCTATTGTTATACTCACTCCAGATTGGTGAAGATGAGCACACTGTCTTCACCCAAGCTCATTTCTCCTCCCCTTCTCTCTGTAGTCCTCTCTATTCATCACCCCAGACATTTGCTCACTCCAGAGTTCTACTGAATTATCCCCAACCCAATATTCAAGCCCTGCTCTTCACTGACAAGCCTCTCCCTCAAAACTGTTGTCATGTAAACATGACATGCAAACACTCCAGAAATTCTGAATGGCACTCCACTCTTCTAATAGGAATGTACAGGTAACTCCTAACTGTGGGAGGAATCTCTTCTCAACAAAACAGAGGAGTCTCATGGACAGATCAGATCAGCCAAGTTCTGGCCCATGATACCTGTACGTTCTAATTGTAGCATAACATGAGAATGATCAGGCTCAGGGAAATTGGTTTATAGCAGGTGTCTCAAATGCCATGTGTGAGTGTGGGAATGTCATGTCATTGGGCCATTGTCATTTCCTACAATGAATGGGCCTGCCCACTTGCAATGATCACTAGAAGTAAATTGGTGAGTGGCTAAGGCCCAAGGGGATTCATTGCCCAACATGGGCCAGGCATGACATTCTGCTGAATGTTGGGGAAGAACGTCAGGGAATAAGGGATAAAAGCAAAGGGAATACATGATCCAAATGAACTTTTCCATCACAATATGGTAGCCACTGAGATACCTTCCTCTTCTAAGAGAACAAGAGTCCCAGATTAAATATATATACAGAAACTTTCATTCTTCAACACCTCTTTAATTTTCCCCAGATTCTTGAAACAATATAGTAAATGATAATGTTTGTAGAGCTGTGGATAAGACCACAGCCTATGAAATCACATCTCTACATTATCCCCCATCGTTTCCTCTTATAAGCTGAGTGATATAGAGCACACCTCCTACCTTCTCAGGGCCTTAAATTGCTCATTTGTGAAATTTAAGAAATATCAATATTTCTCAAGGAGTGACTTTAGGATCTATGATCAGAGATCAATAAATATTAGCAAGCATTAAGATGTTAGATATCTTCTCACTTATAGTAATAAATGAGATAATATGGTAATATTAACTTCTCACTTATAGTACCTGTTTCACACTCTTTTCCACATGCCTACCACCTCAGTAAGATTTTCCTTCTTTTAATTCATATCTCTACTTCTGGAGTTGAGAAAAATTTCCTACATGGCTTTGGTCATTTGCTAGCCATTGAAGTTAAAAAAATAAAAAATAAAAAGGCTGCCTTTTCATTTTCAGCCTAATCAGCATAGCATGTCAAGGTGGCTATGTTCAAGATCCCAGACCAACTCTTGAAAAACCAACCCAAATAGTTTGGGAGGCAAGAATGAGAATGGTGAGAAAGGTCCAAAAGAGATACATAGATGCTCAGCAAACACAGGGAAGATGCTAAACTTCATTAGTTATTAAAAATATGTAAACTGAAACTACAATGAGATACCATTTCATACCCACTAAGATGGCTATAATAAATAATAATAATAATAATAATAATAATAATAATAGCCAGCCGAAACTGGTTTGGCTCAGTGGATAGAGAGTCAGCCTGAGGACTGAAGGGTCTCAGGTATGATTCCAGTCAAGGGCATGTACCTTGGTTGCAGGCACATGCCCAGTGGGAGGGTGTAGGAGGCAGCTGATCGATGCTTCTCTCTAATCAATGTTTCTAACTCTCTAACCCTCTCCCTTCCTCTCTTTAAAAAAATCAATAAAATATATATTAAAAAAAATAAAATAATAATAATAATAATAATAATAAGAGCCAGTGCTGGCGGGATGTGGCTAGTGGGAATGTAAAATGGTGCAGCCATTGCAATAAACAGTTTAATGATTTCTCAAAGACTTAAACCTAGGATTACCATATGACTCAGCAATTCCACTCCTAGGTATATAGCCAAAAGAAATGAAAACATATCCTCAACACTGAAGTTTTTACACAAATATTTATAGCAGCATTAGTCACTGTAGCCAAAGGGTAGTGACAACCAAATATCTATTGAAGATAAAAGGATAAATTGGGATATATACACACACAAAAGTATTATTTAGCCATAAAACAATATTGATATGTGTGAGAACTTAGATGAACCTCAAAACCATCATGCTAACTGAAAGAAGCCAAACACAACAGCTCACATATTACATGATCAAAATGGAAACACAAGTAATCTCATGATCCCATTCATATGACATATCCAGAATATGCAAATCCATGAGAGACAGGAATAAGACTAGTAGTTGCCAGAGGTCAGGGTGGGGTGTTGCTGTTAGAGGGAGGATGGAAAGTGATTAAGTACCAATTAATTTATGGGTACACACAACTTCATGGGTATAAATAAAATGTTCTGATGGGGTAATGAGAAAGCTTTGACACTAGAGAGAGGTGGTGGTTGCACAAAATGGCCGGCAGGGGAGGGTAGTTGTGGGCAATCAGGCCAGAATGGGAGAGCAGTTGGAGGCAACCAGGCAGCAGGGGAGGACAGATAGGGGTTACCAGGCCAGCAGGGGCGGGCAGTAAGAGGTGACCAGGCCAGCAGGGAGGTTAGTGAGTGACGATCAAATTACTGAACAAGCAGGCTGTGTAGGGCAACCAGGCTGGCAGGGGGGTTAATGGGGGACAACCAAACAACTGAACTCGCAGACTGCATGGGGCAACTAGGCCAGCAAGTAGGGGAGAGGGGGCAGTTGGGAGCAATCAGGCTGGCAGAGGGAGAAAGTTAAGGGTGACCAGGCCTGCAGAGGGGGCAGTTGGGTGTGACCAGAGCTGTGGAGGCAGCATGTAGAAATGACCAGGCTGGCAAAGAGAGTGATTAGGAGCCGGAGGTCCAGGATTGTGAGACAGATATCCAACTGCCAGTTTAGGCCTTAGCCCCAGAAATTGGCCATCTCCCAAGGGGTCCCGGATTGGAGAGGGTGCAAACTGGGCTGAGGGAACTCCCCCCATCCCCCATGCACAAATTTCATTCACCACACCTCTAGTTTGTAAATAAAACCCTTTGGGAGGACACTGTAATGATGAATGGGGTGCTATGTCGGTTTGGTAGATGGTGGTGGATGCTCTGTTCCTCTCCTGTGCATCACTCTACCATGGCCCTTCCCACTGAGTACTCTGCTCCCTGATGTTTCTGTCTCCCCCACCTGATGGTCAGCTCATTCAAAAGCAGCTATTTTCAACCAGTGCCTACAAGAACCTTTAAAACATCAGTACCAGACTATTTAGTCAGGAGCACTAACCTATTTTTCCCTTAGATCATCAAATTAGAAAATGACAACAGCCCAGCTGTTGTGGCTCAGTGACTGAACCAAGAGGCCATAGTTCAATTCCCAGTCAGGGCACATACCTTGGTATCAGGCTTAATCCCCAGTGTGGAGCATGCAGGAGGAAGCCAATCAAGGATTCCTTCTCATCATTAATGTTTTACTTCTCTACCTTCTTTCCTCTCTGAAATCAATAAAAATTATATTTTAAAAAATTACGAAAGCCAACACAACAATAGTCATCTCGTTTGAATGCCCTTTGTGGGACCATAAATATATAGGTTATGAAATAGAATTGCATTTTATTGGTCACAGTGTGTAGTATGGTTGTGTCTAATTGTTTAATTCTTGGTACCTGAAGTACTTAAATACAAGTATAGGAGCCTAATATTTTCTTAAAGTCACTTTGGTGCAAAAAGGGTAACTAATTGCTTTTTTTTTTTTTGCAAAGCAATCAAAAGTATACCTATTTTTTGTAAGATATACTATAGATATAGATAGATATAGATATAGATATAGATATAGATATAGATATAGATATAGATATAGATATAGATATAGATATCTATATACATATATATATATGTATTTAGGGTGCCACAGAATTTTAATAGTTTATGTATCAAAGGAAGAAAAAGCTTGAAAATCACTGCTCTAAAGACAGGAGACACATCTCCACTAGGGTTGTCCATTGGCCAGAGAAAGACCTAAACAGACACCAGTAAAAGAAATTACCCTGATGGACTTAGTTGCTTGGAGATAAGGCAATGGGGGTTCTATCACTGAGGACTCCAGTTTCTGGGCACCAGTACTTCCACTGACCAACACTACATACTACATGCCCCACCTTGTACCCTTGGGTTCCTGCTAAGGGCTACAGTCCGCTCTGGAGTCTTCTCTAAGTTATCAGCTGTGGATACTGATGTGGTCACTGCATACTTCTCACACAACCACCCAGAGACCATCATAAGGCAGGAGGCATGGGGGAGGAGATGCTTTAAAGAAAGCCTTCTGAGGTGAAGCACTGCAAAACCAGAGGGGGACACAAGTCATAAACCTACCCACATCTCCTTCCTCTTCTCGGCACAAACAGAGAGCACAGAGAAACACCACCAGCTCCCACCAGAGCAGCCTTCCTGGGAAGATGCAGTCACCCCTGCTCGTGTTCCTGCTGGCCTTTTTCCTACTCTCTGGGGCGGAGGCAGGTGAGTGACCATCCCCACCCTCATAGGCACAACCCATCCCACAGTGGGCACACTCTTGCTGGCCCCTCTGCACATCCCTGATCCAGCTCTCCACCAGGAATGCTCTGAACCCCAGCTCCCATCTCGTCTCAGATCCCCACACATGAGCTGGATGAGCCACAGGCAGAAATGACAGGGCAGAAGCCTATTCTCAAGAAAAGCCAGTGGGCACAATGCCCTACCTGTTCCTTGTGTAGAGTGTAACTTCATAGAAGTGCATGGCAGAGGCTGGGAAACTGCAGAGGGCAGAGCAGTCCTGGCTTCAATGCCTGTGATGAGACAGGTGCTGTCCTCAGGGTCTACTTAGGAGAGAAGCCCAGAGCTCAGCACCCCACAGTTGGTGGGGTCACCATCCCCATAAAACTGCTGCTTCCTCTGCTCCATCTGAAGGTTCCTCAGTCCCTTTCGCAAACTCTGCTTTTCTTCCCAGGCCTTTAGCAGTTTCTTTAAAGGATGAGCCAGTGAGGATGGCAGCCCCAAACTTGTCTGTTTTCCAGAATCCCACAGCACTCTCCTTACCAACCCTCCTCCAGAGGCCCATTGGGGGCCAGTCCTTCCAGGCAGTTAACAAACACTAGAAACTCTCCACCTGTCAGGCCCTAGGACAGCTCTGCAACATCCAGATCCCTAAACCTAAGTCCTGGATACTGCAAAGCGAACTGCCCTGGACATCACAGCACCTCATGGGCCTCAGAAACTCACCTGACACCAAGCAAAGTCAGGAGAGGAATTTATAGGAGCCTCCAGGCCTTTCCAATTCCTAAGAACTATATTCTCACCTGAAATTATGTGGCAGGCCAAGTCACAGACTCAGCCTGGTACTCTTCCCTTTTCCAGAAGAGAAAGTTGAGTCCCCCATCCCTAGACTCCCTCCCAACTCGAGGCCACCCTAGGCTCCCAAGTGCCCAGCTCATGAGAATCAAGCCAATGCTTGCCTGATGGACTCGGGGAGCACTCAAACACAACAGAATTTTCCTGCAGGGGAGATCATCGGGGGACATGAAGCCAAGCCTCACTCCTTGCCCTACATGGCCTACCTTCACATTAAAGGTGAAGAAGAATCCAGGTGTGGTGGTGTCCTTGTGGGAGACAATTTTGTCCTGACAGCTGCTCACTGCAATGGAAGGTGAGAGGCTGCAGCCAGGCTACACCTCCTAAACCCAGGCCAGCTCCCCAGTTTCCTGGTAACTCAAGCCCAACATATCAGAAGAGCCATCAGAGATTGTACAGAGAAATGAGAGCCTGAGAAATAGGACAGGTAAGCTTTGGCCCTGAGAGTCAGAAGTGACAGCAAGTGACACCATGGAGAAGAGAAGTACCACAGTCGGCAAATACAGCAGCGGTGGATCATGAGCACATGCAATAGGGTCAAAATGCAAATGCAAGATATTTCATGATATTTCCTGAGGGCAAGAGAGAGCTCCCACAAGCCCTACTCTCTGTGTCACTGGGAACCAGAGTCACTCAGCGCCTGGACCCTATGAACTGATATCCCTAGTCTGTACCCTCCTCTGCCCAGATGCCACTTGCCCTTCATGGCTCCTTGGATGTATCTACTGTGACTCTACCTACCCTCCCAGCCCTCCCACCCCCCCCCCCACACACACACACAGATGCTCACTCATCCACTCAGTTCTATTTACAGGTCAATCAGTGTCACCCTGGGGGCCCACAACATCACAAAGCAGGAGAAGACACAAGAGGTCATCCTGGTGAAAAGAGCCATCCCGCACCCAAACTATAAGGAGAGGAGAAGCTCCTCTGACATCATGTTACTGCAGGTGAGAAAACTTCCTGCTGCTCTTGCAGCTCTGGGATCTCATTGTATCTCCTCTCACTGTGAATTGTTCCTTTCTTTCCTCCCATTCTGGCCACCTGACCAGTCCTAGTGACTCAGGCTCAGAGACCACTAGCTGACCTGGACTCCCTTGCCTCTTCCCCATCAGCTGGAGAGAAATGTCAAGCAAACTTATGCTGTGAAGCCCCTCCAACTGCCCAGCGGAGAGGACCTGCCAAGAACAGGAGATAACTGCATTGTGGCCGGCTGGGGGCAGGTCACAACTCAGGGTCCTTACTCAGACACTCTGCAGGAGGTAGAGCTGACCCTGCAGAAGTATGTGAAGTGTAAAACGTGCTTTAACTATTACAACAACAACATTGAACTGTGTGTGGGGAACCCAAGAGAAAATAAGGCTTCCTTTAAGGTAATGCTGAACATCTGCCCAGCTTGGTTCTGGGGAGAAGGGTATTAGGGTAGAGGGTAGGACCTGGGCACCCAGGCAGGGTGGTGAAATCCTTCACGCTATAGGTTGTGTTCTTTCTCCCTGGAAAGAAAATAGAGGAGTCACCAAAGCAGAGAGAAACAGGGTCTCCAAGAGTATACAAGGGCCTGTGGTCATTGCAAACAGGATTCTCAGCCAAGGGGCAGGGACTGGGGAATTTGCAACACTCTGGCAAAGCTTAGGCAATGCAGTTAGATCACTATTCCCTGGGTGTGCAGAAGTTATACCTGGTGGCTCCTCAGAGCTGGTAAATACTGTCAGCCCCACCTGCCTGCTCTCGGGTCTTTACACAGTAGACTGCAGCCACAGCCCTGCAGCACCTTCACAGCCAGAGGATCAGGGTCCTGGGAGAGCAGAGGGAGCCACTATTACCTGTGTAAAGTGAAGCAGTGACAATGTCCAGGCTGAGGGGACTACTGGGGACCTGCCTGCATGCTTCTCTCCAAGGTGGAAACCATGCTAGGCAGACTTATCTGAGAGGGACTTGGGGTGGCAAGGAGGGCAGTGCCAGAAAAACTGGCTCAGACCTTCCCTCTCCCTATCCACAGGGGGATTCTGGGGGACCGCTCCTGTGTAAAAATGAGATCCAGGGCATTGCCTCCTATGGAAGCAAGGATGGGAAACCACCGGTAGTCTACACCAAAGTCGCCAGTTTCCTTCCCTGGATAAGAGAAACCATGAAAGGCCTCCAGATGCAGGACCCAGATGATCTTCTCTGGAACTAATCCAGGATCACACTGACGGGAGGGAGGTGGTGCCAGCAACTGAATAAATGTCTCTCAGCTGATGAGAAGAGCTGGATTGTTGTTTATTCTTTGACCCTCATTCACAGGCACCAGCTCGGTGCTCAGAAGGTCAATGGCACGATTCTCTGTTCTACTTCTTACTCTTCCCTTCCTCCCCCCAAACCTCATGCAAAGCAGTTACCAAATCCTTCTTAGCCAAACCTGTACTTTCAGGGCCCTCCCTTCTTCACCATTAGGAGAAAACATGAATCTCTCAGGTCCTGGGCTCAGTGTGAAGATCTTACTTCTTCCTCTGTTTTTGTGCTGAAAGGAAAGGACTAGCACTGTGGGTGCTGGGCACCAAGAAGGCACAGCCTAGGCTGCAGCTCGGAGGCCTCACCACACTGGGGAGAGGAGGGCCTTCCTGAGCAGGATATAGTTCTCTCACAGCCATAGAGTGGCAGGTTTTGGGGGTCTGGAGGATGGTGAGGAGAGACGGAGTGGAGGAGGGAGGGAAACCCTGAGAAGCTCCTCATTCCCTCCTGGGCTGAATTTCTCTCCCTGCCCTTTTCTGCCCTCCTCTGAGCTCATGGCCTAGCTTGGCCTCCAGTCTCCTGGCTGCCCCTTCTTCTCATTCCTGCTGATCACTGAGCATCCTCAGAGTCCACCAACCCCACCACCCCACAGACCACACTGGTCTGAGCTCCTTGCTCTCCCATATCCCCCCCACGTAAGACACCCAGAGTGCCCAGGTTCCAGCAGGGCCTGGTCACTGAGTTGTCACCCAACTTATGCCCTGGCACAGGGTGACCGAGGCACCAGGTCTGTGCTGGCCCCATGCAGGGCACTGGAGGACAGGGTGGCAGGATGTCTGCAGAACACCTGGCCCCATCTCTCACCCTCACATCCAGCCCAGGGTCCCCACCATGTGCTCAGAGTCCACTGACTGCTGGTCACTCGGGAGCCTTAGGCCCCTGCAGCCTGTTCCTCACTGCTGGCCTCAAGGCTCAGGCTGTGGGGAGGGAGGCCACATGGGCTCCACCTGCCTTTTGAGTTAGAAAGGGCTGCTCTCCCAAGAGGACTAGAAAGCACCGTTTTTCCATCCATCAGTGAACAAATGCTGATTGTGCACCTACTAAGTGCCAGGCATTGGGAATGTACAGTGAACATAATACATTTCCTAACACCTGAACACGAGTGAAGCTGACAGTGTTCACTTTGATGTGAATGGAATTTCCTCTCCCTCCTTCACAGGAACCCACAGAGCCCAGAGCCCACAGGAGTATTTGTGTTTTATTTTTATTGCTCATTACACTCTGTTTTAATCACTTGGGTCTCTAGAACAGCAAGCAGCATGTGGGGTTTGGAAATGACTTTATTTCTATCATTTCTAGACGTGCAGCCCCCAACTGTTCACTGGGGCGTCCTCTTCACCTCGGGTAGAGGGCAGCAGGTGGGGAGCAGGCAGGACGGAAGCCTCATTTCCATGAGCCATAAAAGCAGCAGATATATTTGGTGACAGCATGGATGGACCTAGGGGTATTATGCTCAGGGAAATAAGTCAGTCTGAGAAAGACCAATACCATATGATTTCACTTATATGTAGAATCTAAAGAACAAGTTAATGAGCAAACAAAATTGGAACCGAACCATAAATAAAAAGAACAGATTGATCGTTGCCTGAGGAGAAGGGGTTTGGGGGACTGGGAAAAAAGTGAAAATATTAAGAAGTACAAATTGGTAATTAGAAAATAGTGACTAGGATGCAAAGTACAGCAAAGGGAATACAGTCAATAATATTGTCATAACGATGTATGGTGCCAGGTGGGTACTAGAAATATCGGGAGGAACACTTTGTACAGTATATAATATATCTAATCACTATGCTATACACCTGAAACAAACACAAAATAATATTGAAAGTGGACTGTAATTGAAAAATAAAATTTAAAATACAGTAAAAGTAGCAGGCATGAATGTCATTGTGATAATGTTATAATTATACCAGTTGTTAATTAATTGACAGGTATGGAACAAAGGGAATGCTTGATAATACAGGAATCCCACGTGTGCCAGAAAGCTGCAGTTTCACACTCTCCAGGTCTGTTTCCCAAAGATCCTAGGGGAAGGAACTGGACCATGAAAAAATAGAAACATGCTCAGTGAGGTCTGATGCCATAAGAAAGGTGGCTTCTTGTAAGTCACACCTGGGAGCAGTGAATAGCCATAATAGATGTGGCCCCTGCAATGGCACCAAATCTGAGCTACAGAAGCTCCCGGAGAAACAGAGTTCCCTCTCTCACCCTCTTGAGCTCCTGCCCCTCTTGTGACAGAGTGCCTGCTCCCCTCCATGGCTCCCATGGCCCACACACAGTGAACTGATGGATTACAACTAGCCTGGTGCTCTGTGGGACTTCACTCCGCCGTGGAATGCAATCTCTGGGCACTGGCTTTGCTTCTAGTCCTACTGAACCCCCAGCTGCATCTTTTCCAGGTCCAGTTTCAAGGAAATGAGAACTTTGCAACTGAGGGATATAACTCCATGCAAATAAAATCCACTCATTTGCCCATGCAAGTCTTAGAAAATTCCTTTTCTAAAGCTATCATAAGAACCCTAACCTCAGCACCCAGTTGGGAAAGGTGTCCTCCGCTTCCGCCATTGGACATCCCATTTTCACCAATTCACAGTTGTACAGAATCAAATGGTAGGACAATCCTACAATGTATTTGCTAATTGCAGTTAGAATCTGCCTCTGAACACCCATCTGATTGGACAGACGATCCCATGGTCCTTATCATTACCAAAACCTCCTGCCTGTGCATAATCCAATACAAAATAGGGAGGCTCACGTGGTCAGGAAAGTGGAGACTTGTAAAAATTACTTTTACATATCAAAATGTATTTATCAATCACTTCTTTAAAGTTTTTGTATTTAGATTCATTGCTAGAAAGGCTTTACTGCTTCTAAGTTTATAAAGAAATTCATCCATGTTTATTCATTGTGCATATATGGTTTTATTTTGTACTACAGTCCCGCAGCAAAAAATTCATGCAAGAGCCTCAGCCCTCGCAGTCCCAGCTTCATCCAGAATGCGCTCCGGATGGTTGTTTTGGTGTTCAGTCCAATTAGCATATAAACTCTTTATTATATAGGATATATAAGTGTCTTTTTCTATTTGCATTTCATTCTGGTGGTTTATATGAAATATGACTCCAACTTAATATCTTTTAAAAGTGACTTTGTCAACTCTGTTTGGAAAATAAAACAAAGAAAAAAATATTTTCTAGTTGTTCCAATATCATTTATTAGAAAGTCTATCTTTCTCCTAATGATTTAAAATGTCACCATATTATAAATTACATATCTTTCTGTACTTGGAAATGTTTCTAGGTTTTCTATTCTGTTTATTTATTTATTTTTTGCCATTTTATAACTTTATTTATTTTTTATTAAATTATTATCTGTGTACATATCTTACCATTCCTCTCCCCCATTCCCATACACACCCTTCCCCCCCAGAGTTTTGTGTCCATTGGTTGTACTTATATGCATGTATACAAGTCCTTCGGTTGATCTCTTATCTTCCCCAGATCTCCCTATCCTCCCGCTGTAATTTGACAGTCTGCTTGTTGCTTTACTGTCTCTATATCTATCTTTTGGTTCATCAGTTTATAATGTTCTTTATTATCCATAAATGAGTGAGGTCATGTGGTGTTTCTCTTTCATTGACTGGCTTATTTCACACAGCATGATGTTTTCCAATTCCATCCAGGTTGCTGCAAATGATGAGAATTCCTTCTTTTTACGGCAGCATAGTAGTCCACTGTGTAGATGTACTATCGTTTTTTGATCCAATCATCTGCTGACGGGCACCTAGGCTGTTTCCAAATTCTAGCTATTGTAGATTGTGCTGCTATGAACATAGAGGTGCATATATTCTTTTTGATTGGTGTTTCTAGTTTCTTGGGATATAATCCTAGGAGTGGGATTACTGGGTCAAATGGGAGTTCCATTTTCAGTTTTTTGAGGAAACTCCATACTGTTCTCCACAGTGGTTGCACCAGTCTGCATTCCCACCAGCAGTGCACGAGGGTTCCTTTTGCTCCGCAACCTCACCAACACTTGTTGTTTGTTAATTTGTTGATGTTGGCCATTCTGACAGGCGTGAGATGGTACCGCATTGTTGTTTTGAGGCTGTCTGTTTTGTTTAATGGGCCTTTGTCTACTCATGAACCAGAAAAGAGGTTTTGTTTGTTTGTTTTTTGGGGTTATTTTTGGAGTTTACCATTTAAATTTATTTCACACATGTATTATGGCCTTTGCAATGTGTTCTTTTTTCTCCTTTATCTTTTGGTTTTTAAATTTATTTTTTAACTGTAGTTGACATACTGTAATACTGCCATATTATATTAGTTTCAGGTACACAATATAGTGATTCATCATTTGTATACCTTATGAAGTGATTGCCATTAGTCTCATACCCATCTGTCACTGCACATAATGATTTAGTACTAGAGGCCTGTGCACGAATTTGTACATGTCTGGGGTCCAGCCAGCCTGCCCTGATCACCGATTGGGCAGGGCTGGCCAGGGGGAGGGGAAGTGGGAGGGTGGCTGTTCAACCCCACACCCTGGTCAAACTCCCAAGTCAATCAAACTCCCACCCAAGGGGACAATTTGCATATTAGCCTTTTATTATATAGGATTAAGGAAAAAGGTTTTATATAATGTTTTTAATATCTGATAAGGCTTACCCTCTCCCTTACTATCTTTTGTTTGTTTGTTTGTTTGTTTGTTTGTTTTGTTTGTCAAAATTCTCAGAGCTATTCTAGCATGTTTATTTTCCACATGTATTTTAGAAATTGTCTAGAACTTGTGTAACACAGAAAGAAAAAATCATATTTTTATTGGAATCAAATTAAATGCATATATTAGCTTGGTATAAAGATATCTGAAATGTAATAGTCTTCTGGACAGTGCTGGGAAAATACTATTTGG